ATGTCGATGGAGATACTTTTGTCTGTCCCGCACATATCAGGTGGTTTTGGTGGTATTGGGATATGAGTGTCCTTTAGATACTTGGTAATAGCAGTGATGCTGCAGATGCTCCTGTAGCTTTTGACCTTAGAACTTCCGCTAGTTATACAATCCCAAAAGGTGTTATGCAGAGGATGCGAAACCGTTGTGAAAGCTTTTGCTGCCAATTTTACAGAACGACTCTGGAGTAGCAAACGGAAGTCATCGTAGCGCGCTTCGACTCTTCTATTGGTGTTGCCACTAGTAAGCCGGCTGCAGCTCTAAAGCAATGATTTAGAGCAGTATTTATTTTATTTATATTGGCTTCGGATGTATATCCATAGAGACTGATGCAATGTTGTACTGCTCCTTCAGCTAGTGACCAGCATATATAAAGAGCTGTTTCGATATGGGGACCCTTTTTCCGGGAGCATATTACTTTGAGTAGGTTCTGCACTTTACTGAGTTTTGATGTGATTGTTTTTACGCGTTCATTCCATAAAAGATTCCTGGTGAAGGTAACGCCTAAAATTCTCATTTTCGCTTTGAGATCGACGTTATTGTTTCTCAGTGTAATGGACGATACGTTACAGTTTCTCTTTCTGCAAAAATGAATGGCTTCAATCTTGTCAGCCGGTATTACTGCTCCGGTTATTGCCGACCACTCTTGAATTTTTTTGTCGATGGAATTGAGGCTTTGAGATACTTCTTCTTGAGTGCCTGAAGACAAAGCAAAGATGTTCTCTGCATATATACCAACGAAATCAATGCCATGTATATCTTTTAGTGTTTTTGACAGTGTGTTCGTATACGCATTAAAAAGGAACACAGAGAGGAAGGAGCCCTGCGGAATTCCATTGTCTAGTTTATAATTCTGGGACAAGAAACCATCTACTTTCACTGAGATCCTTCTGTGAGAGAGAAAGGATAAAGCTAATTTTAGAAGGATTTTGGGTATACCCCAACAGTGTAGCTCCTTTATTACTACCGTTGATATTACCCTGTCAAATGCTTTTTCGAGATCTTCAGAAACCAGTATGCAGTGCTTTTGACGGTTGAGGTTTTTCTTTATCTTCGTTTCTAATAGTTGGCAAAGTGTGTGTACTCCGTGGTTGGGCATGTATGCATGCTGAATTTTGAGGATTTTACCATCGCATGCTTTCCACAGTCTTCTCGTCACTATTTTGTCTAATATTTTCGAGAGCACAGGTAATAAGGATATAGGTTGGTACCCTTCGACTGAATTCTGGTTCCTACCTAACTTTGGTATGGGTATAAGTACAGCTTCCTTCCAGTCGTGTGGGTAAATACCAGTTTTTAAAATATTGCTATAAAGCCGGCAAAATCTTATTTTGAAGACGCTCGACGAATTTTTTACCATGGCATAAGTTATTTTATCCTTCCCAGGCGATGTTCCTTTAGCATTTTTGAGCGCTAGATGTAATTCCGCCAGTGTTACTGCTTCTACAGTACAAATTAAATCATTTCCAACACTTTCGAAATCGTCAACATTCATACCCAATTTTTGTTGTGTAAGGCATCTGCCGAGTTTGTCATTTGATCCCAATGAGCTCCATACTCTTGCTAGATGATTTGCTTTCTGTTTCGGATGTGAGATAGCCGTACTATTTGTAAAGATCGGTGGAAAGCTGGAGATGGTGTTGGATTTGATCTTCCTTACTTTGCCCCATAATGTCTTGGCATCTATCGTCGGGTTTAGTGAGTTTACGAAGCATTTCCACGTCTCTTGTTTTGCCTTTTTGCAGGCTCTTCTTACCTGTGCACACAATCTTCTGTAATTCAGAGTTCTTGTCGGGGTTTTGTTTTCTCTGAATTTCTTCCAGGCTTTCCTTTTTTCACGTATTAGTGTATTGATTTCTGCATTAAACCATACTGGGGAGCTCTTTCGCTTTGGACATCGGGTGGTTGGCATGGATTCGTTTGCTGATTTTCTAATTATCCTTTTGAGCAAGGCTGCTTCTCTGTTGACATTGTCTGATTGCACGAACTGGTTGTCAAAGAGGTCTGTTTTATTACGGAAGAGTTCCCAGTTCGCTTGTTTTTCCTTAAATCTTCTTATAATTTTTTTTTCAATATGGGTGTTTCCATTATGCATAAAAATTGGAAAGTGATCGCCTGCGATTGTTTGAGATGGACAACTCCAGGACAAACAGTCTGCCAAATCACTTGTAACCATAGTTACATCCACTGAAGTAAGCGTGTTCCTTGTGTTCAGGAGGGTTGGTCCCCCATCATTTAAAAATACTAAATTTCGCTCATGTGCAAAGTTTTCCCACAAGTTCCCGCTTCTTGAGTTGTATTGAGATCCCCAAAGAGTATTCTGCGCATTAAGGTCTCCTACAACTATTTGATGCCCTGAATTTATTATTGGTAAGTCTTGTAACAACTGCTGCGTTAAGTTTATGTCAGTTTCTTTGTAGATATTTGTGATGTGTAAGTCTTTTAGTCCGCGTATAGTTACGGTTTGATGCAGAAGTTGGTTGGTGGATGTCCTGTGATTTGAAGCGTTTATTGTATTTCTAACTAATATTGCTATTCCTGACTTTGCGTACGTTAATTGTTTGTTGTGGTGAAAAATTTGATAGTTGGGCAGGTGAAGGAATTGTTTGGTTTTGTCTGTTATATGGGTTTCCTGTAATAATATGATATCTGGCTTATGTATGGAAATTAGGTNCTGTTATATGTTAAGTACTCCAGTGCAAACTTATTATTAATAAATTCCTGAATATGCCATTGTATTATTGAGAGATTTAAGCCAATATCCATTTACTGTAAGGAAGGGATTAATTGTTTTCAGTGTACTTCGTCCGTGTGCTTTTGTATGTGTTAGGTGTGATCATGACGTTTAACTCAGGGAAATTGTTGTAGAGCTCCCTGCTTGGAGAGATCTCTATACTGTTGTCTTCTGTGTGTGAATGTGAATCGCTGTGTTTAGTGATGGTGTTGGTTTTCTGTGCATTTTGTTTTGTTGGATTTTCGACAGTCGTTTGCGTGTTTCTGATGGTGGCTGCTGTTGTTGACGTAGTTGGTTCATTGCTATCAGTATTCATTGGTGTGCCGTTAACTGCTTGAGGTTTATTGTTTAATAGTTTATTATGATTTAGTTTTGCGTTTATTGTCTCATTTTGCTTCTCTGTTTTTTTTGTTGTGTTGGAGTTGGTGTTTTTTAGGATTTGTGCTATTGTGGGTTTTGTTGTTCGCTTTGCGAAAGGTTCGATTTGGTAAGCAGATGGGTTGCTATTGTATACCTTCTACGCTTCTCTTACGGTGCATCGACGTTCGATTTTTACTTTGTTGACTGCTTTATGTTTTAGGAAGCTGAGGCAATCTGGATCATACGATGAGTGTGTGTTGTTGTCACAGTTTATGCAATATTTTCCGGCACATTTTTCGTGTGAGGGGGGGTTGGCAACACTCTCTGCAAAGTTCTATGTTTCTGCACCTATTTCTGGTGTGTCCAAGTCTTTGGCAGTTCCGACATCTCATTGGGTTGGGAATATACTCCTCCACTCGAACTCATTCCCATCCAAGCTTGATTGTGTCCGGTCTGCGAATCAAATCAAAGGTGACTATGACTGCCCCGGTTGGTGTTAATTGGTCTCCAGATTTTTTCATGATTTTTTTAACTTCGACGACTTTTTGGCTAGCTAGACCTTCAACTAATTCTTCTTCTGCAAGGTTTATGATATTCCTAGAAAATATTCTTCCTTGTGAGGTGTTAAATCCTTTGTGTGAAGTGATTTTGACTGGAATTAGCCCAATATGGGTAGCTTTTTGGAACTTCTCGGCTGCTTTTAGGTTTAGGGTTTTGATTAGCAAATCTCCGGATCTTAGTGCAGATACTTCCGAGTAGTCAGCGCATACGTGTTTGAGACCTTTGTCAATATGAAAGACGTTATATGACGAAAGGGCGCGAATTTGTTCCCCAATTTTTGGTCCAACTGCAGTTGCTACGAGATATCGCGGGATGTGGTCATCGTTATGTTTGACTTGAGGGAGAGGCACGAAGTCGTCAGATATTATGCGTTTGCCAGGTGGATTAATGTCTGGGTCAAGTAACCGAAACCTGTTTGAAGAGGGGGGGTCAACCCCATTCATTTTTACACTGCACTGGTTTTCAAGTGCTTTGCGTTACAACACTTCCGACCAGAACAAATAGTAAAGTAGTAAGCGAGAATATAAATACAAAAGTAACACTAGCTTTGGTTAATCACAAGAAAAAACGAGTGGAAAGACACGTCTTTACGCGGCGATTGCCTGAGCTAGACTGACCCCATATAAGATATTGCTCGACAATACTCTCGATGGCGAATACAAAAGAAATATCAAAGTTGCAGAAAAACTTTAATAAAGGAATGAGAGCAGTGCTGAACAAAAAGCGTAGTGAAAATGTTAACAATATGTTAAAAGAATTAGGATATTTATCGGTAGCAAATGAAGTAAAGAGGGATATGTCGACTTTTTTTTATAGAATAGAAAATGGATTGCTTCCGGAATATTTAGAGTCTTTAGTAAGACGAAACTCGGATGTTCACCAGTACTTTACTAGACAGGCAAATCAATTTCACTTGAAACCTGTACGTACAAGTAAGGGCTTGAAATCAGTATTTAGTAATGGACTAGCAATGTATAATGCCGTTCCGGAGGAAATTAAACATGCAAGAACCATCGGATCGTTTAGAGAGAATATAGGTTTATGGCTAGATGCCAATAGCGATGCAACGAATAATGAATAAGTCTAAGGGCCGGTTTCTCTATCTCCGGTTAACACTAATCCCCCGGTAAACATCGTTACCGACCTTATCGACTCCCTGTTATATGCATGGAGTTAGAACGTCGCTAACAATGTTTAACCGGGGAGTTAGTGTTAATTTTGAAATTTTATTTGTATATAAGAACAACTGTATTAGCCGTAGGCTATTTTTTGTAATAAATAAATAAATAAATAAATTTTAAAGGTCTAGATCCTCCTCAGATCATAATCGATATTAGAAATCGAATCAAAAATAGGCCGAGGCTGAGGTTTTTTTTAAAGTGGAGCCCGTCCCCTTTCGAATGGGGGCGGTTTATGGTGACTCGCGCCTACCCCTCCTCCCCACCCCAAAAAACGGTGGGCCAATAACTAAACATTTCCCCAAGTAACTGCTTAGGAGGTCGAATTAAGAGTTTTCTTTTTTTTTACTTACTTTGACGAGGGAAACACTTCGTTTCGAGAGGTTCCTTCTCGCAATTCGTTAATTGTAGTTTGTGCCCGGTTTTGATAAGCATCAAAAATAACACTAACGTCTCCATTAACGCTAATATCGTCAATAATTGCGTCATAGTAACGACCATCTTCTACCCATTTAGCTTGACATTTGTCTCCCACTTTCCAGTTTTGTGAAGTAGTTACCAGTTTTTCTGCCTCTAAAAGGGCGGCTTCAATTTCATCATAGTATGCTGATATTGTCGAACTGGATGCAGGTTCAATATACGACTTTTTTTGTTCTTCAAATTGTGTTCTGATTAAGTCTTTGGTTAAATCAATGACTTCCACTAGACCCTCTTTCAACTTTAACAATTCCTCGTTTTTAGGATCTGTGAGTAAACCAGCCTCAACCTGGAAAATAAGAGTACATACTTAATTCATTTTCAATTTCAAAACGCATTTTTTTCACCTGCTGTAATTGCAACTTATAATTTTGTAAATCTTCTGCCATCTAGGAAACTCCACGCTGACGTTGCTTTGAGAGAAATATACGAAATGCTTGTTCTAAGGGCAGAAAGGCACATTTATCTTAGTAGAAATAAACCTTAATTGAGTTTTTGTCGTACATTCTGGCTTTATATTATCAAAGTTTAACTAGACTAGACTCAAAACCATATATGTATGTATATACTCATTTGAGACGGAAACCCAGCCAAAAGTACGAATGAAACGATACGAGTAAAAACAAGTACATACTCGATACTAGTGATAGAACGATACGAGTACCGAGTACAGAATATCGATACTTTTCATGAGTACTGAGGAGTATCGTGAACTCGATACTTTTTCACAAGGACTGAGGAAATATCGCGAATGCCGAAAAGTTTCGACGAGTTAAGAACTTTTTTAAGTATTTTTTTTTTTAATTACCTAATAAATATTGTAGCGAACGTTCGAATATTCACTTCAATATCCAATATGAATGTTATGAAAACGAACATAAAGCTCATTTATCTACTTCAATGCTGTCATAACTCAAAAAACCGAAAACCCGAGAAACACGCCTTTAAAGTTTTTAATTCACATGTCGGTACCCTCATGCCAGAAGCATTACGACTACTATTAATAATAAATTTTCGTTTAAAGCAGGAATAAATTGAAATTTCATTTATTTGAAATAAACATTCAGCCTTATCATGAGTTTCATTTTCCCCGAACCGGTTCACTTTTCACTTTTGGTTTCCATGGTGTTACTATGGACGGATGACAAATTTTCGGGTGAATTTTTTTTTTTTTCAGGCGAAACTCAGGATAAAGCAGATTATAATGTCGTCATCCTCATGCCAGAAGCATGAATGTGCCAATTTATCAGTTTTGAGTTATTGGGTTGACTTTGATTTTCTTTGTTATACCAAAACTCAGAATACCATGCGTACACGGAAAGTAAATATTTTTAAATTTCAATTGCATAAATGTGGAGCTAAGTCTCGCAAAAAAACTTTCAAACTGTTAATGGCATACGGACGACGATATGTATACTCTAGGCATGTAATTTTTTTTAATTTTTACGATCCCGAGATTTTCGGTATGTCGTTGGTTCAACCCGGGATCCCGGGATCAGTCCCGGGATTTAGATATTTATTATTTTTCAATGACTTAACATGAAAAAATTGCATCAATATGGTTTGAGAAGCTCTCCTACCACATATTAAATATTAAGTAAATGGGTTTGGAACGTACTTTTTCATTTAAAGTGAAAATTATTTCATAAGTAACAAAACGAAAGACAGTAATTAAATTTATATACATTTAATAATACTTTAGTGTGTGCATATCTGATAAAGTAATTTAAGGTATGTCGAAAAAAGCTCGATGCAGAAATAAAATTAAGTAAAAAAATTTATTTTCTGATTGAAAGAACTTCATAACACTAGCGGCAGAAATCAAAGAAGAAGCCTTAATTAGACCAGTTTTGTCTATATTCCTTTTGCTTACCCAAAATTCAAATTTTTTTTTATAAAAGTCTACCTTGCATTGCACATAATTAACTGCATATAAATGGGCATTTCTCTGAGGTAATGATTTTTTTAAAAAGACTTTATCGAGCCCTGACCGCCAAAATAACGTAAGCGACATTTTTTCCAAAATTTTCTTTTTGATGCAGAAATATTCCTAGAGCATCTAGATGCATTTCTGCATAAAAACGAATATTTTGAAAAAATGTCGGTTACGTTATTTTGGCAGTAAGGGCTCGCTATAATTTTAAAGAATGGTTAATTTCAAAATTTATTTTAAAAAATTCAGTGCACTGTAAAACAAATATATGGTTGCCAAATGAAATAATTTCTTTGCGTTCACAACGACGAATAGGAATTGAAAATGCCCCTTTAATCTATTTTATATTTTTAAGCTAATAAAGTCAGTACTTATC